CAAGTTAGGTTTGGCACTTGAATAGACCATTGTTAAAGTAGTCGTCCCTAAATAAACACACGCCAAACAGCGTGGCAACTTTAAAGGGATTAATTTTAACAGTTGAATGGACCATTGTCCGCACATCTGCTCTTAAATCAACATACGCCAAACATTGTTGACATTCTGAATGGATTAATTTTGACACCTGAATAGCCTTTTGTCCGTTTTTAAATTAGCTAATGAGGTCACTAGAACCGGTCATGCGTATTTAGGAATACAAAAAACTTGAAAGAGTCATTTCGTTGCGGAACGCCGAAAAGTCAACATCGTATGTATGTATTTTACGCAAATATTTATTAAATTATTTTACAGTAAAAGTCCTTATTATTATCTTATATAGAAACATTATTTGACTGACTCATAATATCGAATTAAATTGAAAATTAATTTCATATATTTTGTTATATGTTAAAAAGTTTATGAAGAAACACATTTAAATTAATTAATTGTCTTATTCATTGTATTATAAAGAGTCAATTAGTCAGTCAGTTTTCAATTATATCTTATTACTAACGCATTTTCTTTTATTTGGAATGTTTATAAAAAAAACACATTTGAAATAATATTTTAATACTTAATCAGTTTTTATACAACTTTTTCTTAAAAATGATATATGAATAATACAAACTATTATTCAAATACAAAATGTCCTAATTGGAAGGTAAGTCATTTTATTCATATTTTTTATGGATACATGTGTATAATTTTCATTTGAAATATTATCTCCCCGTCTAGGGCCGAGGACCTGACCTTCAATGTCCGCGATTCAAGCCTTAATTCGTGTATACGAGTCAGCTCCGTATACTTCCGGGAGATTAAAAATGAATTTCTAAATATAGAACGATGATGTCATTCTAAAAAAAGAATCCAATATGGCGCCGCGCATGCGCAATCGTGACGTTAAAGAGACGCCTATACTACTTCAAAATACTACAAAAATATTCTTCTGGAAGTTCTGGCCCAGATTCTCTACAAACCTTGGGTCACTTAATACTGGGGTATACTTCTTCTTTTTCCAATATACTGGCCACCTTCAAGTAAGGAATGCCAGGTTAATGCGTAAGAAAGAAAGAAAGAGTAAAATAGTGAGGCATATATACAGTGCAGCTTAAAAACAGACAAGCATGCGGTTTAGATAAAGGGTTGGGACAGATGAGTACGGAATGATTCAACTGTACCGGCTGAAAAAGCATCTGGAGGAAAGCTGTTTCAGTCTTTGATGGTGCGTGGAAGAAGGATTGTTCACGATATTGGATGCGGCAGTAGAGCATCTTGTAGAATAGGTTATGTGTATTTCTTATAGGCATGAGTTGTGAGTTGTCTAGAGCGACCTTGTTGTTGATGAATTTGTAGAGCATGATCAGCCTGACCTCCTTACGACGCTGTTGTAATTATTTCAATTCCAGGTCTGCTCGCATGTCTGTGACGCTGGACCTGTTGTGATACTTGTTCCTAACATACAGAACTGTGCAGCTCGTCATTGGACCATGTCTAGACGGTGTTTGTCTTTTTCTCGTGGGGGTCCCAGACAGTGCTTGCATACTCCAATTTGGGGCGGACTAGAGCTTTGTAGGCCGTTTCTTTGGTGGATGTAGAGGTGATGTTAAAGTTTCTTTGCAGGAAGCTGGTGGCATGGTTGGCTTTGTTGCAGATGTTATGTATATGTTGGCCCCAGTCAAAGTTGATCCGAGGTGTTTAGCTGGTGTGACGTGCTCTAGAGTATGACCATGAAGAGTGTAGTTGTGGCAGATGGGGCTTCTTTTCTTGGAGATGGTGAGGACTCGGCATTTGTCTGGGTGGAATGACATTTTCCACTTCTCTTCCCAGACAGCTAGTTTGTCGAGGCAAGCTTGTAGGGTGGAACAGTCGGACTTGTTGGTGATGGCGAGGGAGGCCAGCATATCATCTGCAAATAGTCGGACGACTGCGTTGAGACCCTCTGGGATGTTATTGATGTAGAACAGGAACAGACTCGGGCCAGAACAGACTGGGACGCTGGATTCTGCAGTTACTGTATCTTAGGTTACCCCTTCCAAGATTACAGATAAGGATCGGTTGCTTAGGAAAGCCTGAAACCACAGGTTTGTCTGGCCCTGGTGCCGTAGTGCTCCAGTTTGTAGGATAAGTTGCTGTGTCATACCTTGTTGAAGGCCTTGGCGAAGTCCATGATGAGAACATCAGTCTATTTGCCATTTCCATGTTCTGTGAATTCAAGAAGCTATGTTTCACAGGATCTGCCCTTTCTGAAGCTGTGTTGGAGAGGATAAAGAATCTTCTGTTTTTCGGCATGGTTCGTGATGAGGCTGGTGACAATGTGCTCTAGGAGCTTGCAGCAGATGCAGGTTAGTGAGACAGGGCAATAGTTTTATAGTTTATATCTGCTGCCTTCCTTTCTTGTCGCCTGGGGATACATTGGCTGTCTTCCAGTCATTAGGGATGGTGCTATTTTCTAGTGATAGAGTGAAGATGGTGGTGAGTTTGGGAGCGATGTCAGTTGCCAATTCTTTGAGGATGCAAAGACTTATGGTGTCGGGTCCTGCAGCTTTATACAGGTTCAGTGCGAGAATGAGTTTGGTGATTCCGTGAGAGATTATGGATATCTCAGGGGCTACAGGATGGGTTGACTGTTGATTGACGTAGTCCCCCTTCTTGAAGCCATTAACAGTGACTGTGATGTTGTCTGTGAATACAGATTGGAACTGCCGGTCTAGTACGTTCGCTTTGAACTTTGAACGGAATGTATTGTCCGTGTTCTTCTAGTCCAGTAATTGTTTGATTCTCTTTCTTCTTGTGTTTAATGAAGGTCCAGAAACGTTTCTGACTGCTGTGTAAGTTTGGATCTGTAAGCTGCGGTGTCACAATATTGTCAACATATGTCCAGTATGCTTGTCGGAGTTTCTTCTACACTAAGTTTTTGCAGTTCTTGTAATTTCTTTGATGTTGTTTTTTGATGTTGTTTGTCTTTGGATGTTTTCATTTTCTTATGGAGACGGTCACGTTTCCGAAATAGTCTTTTGATGTAATGCTATCCAATCGAGCTTTCTTTTACAGGGGGATTTTCCGGGTTGTGTGGATATGGGTGACAGGGCTAAGGTCAAGCTCAATGAGGTCAGTGTCATGGTCAGACATGCCGAGCATTGTTGTAATTTGCTGTACTTTGCTAGGAGGTTTGTTATAACGAGGTCAAGAGTGTTGTTATTTCTTGTTGTATCTTTAATAATTTTGATAAATCCATTGACATCTAGGCAGTCTGAGAACTGATAGTGGAGGCGTGCATTGGCCGTGCCTACTTTCAGAGTTTTTGATTTCCAGGCCAGCCTTTGAGGTTAAAGTCGCCCACGATGAGTAGTACGGTGTCTTTGATTGATGTAGCACAACTAACAGATTCTTGGAATTGTAGCAAGCTGTGTTCATCTGATGTTTTTGGGGTGGTAGAACGAGGAAAGAAGCAATGATTTGGCTCCAACAATGTTGACCTTGGCCCAGACTATCTCACAGCCTGTTTGGAGTTCTTGGATGTCTGTGCTGAGCATTGAGTCCTAGACTGCGATAAGTACGCCTCCGCCATTGGCTGTCTTTCGATCATTTAGCCATAGTTTAATGTTGTCCGGGACGATTTGGTTGTCGGTGATAGAGGGGTCCAGCCATGTTTCTGTGATCATAATATCAGGTTTGGTGTTGTCTATGAGGTTTTCTTTTCTGTATTGCTTTTTCTTAATGTACAGGCAGTTAACATTCAGGAATTTAAGTGGTAGATTTTTTGGTGGTTTCTTCTTTAGGTTTCCACTTCTTTCTGGAGTTGATGAGTGAAGAGTTTTTAACTGTTGTTGTGTCTTTGGGCTCTGCAGATTTATGCTTGAAAGCGATAGTAATTCAAAAGGATTTGACATTGATAGCGGATGAAGGTCAAAGCGTACAGCTCTAGTTTAGGTTGTTGCAGAGAAGGATTTAGGATACTTAAGGTTCAAGAGTGAACATCTTAGCAATTTAGGTGGTACCATTGGTCACAGCTAGGTGTGGCAAACAACGGCCAGGTGATCCCATGTTACTGTCTGGTGATATGGGTAGACAGTGCTGTCGTTTAGTGGGGTCCAGGGTTTACTTTGACGTCATTTGAATTGGCGAGAAGTAGTAGAGTTAAATATACTAGGAAGACTTCTTGTCGGAGAGTTTATTGCTGGTACTGGTATGTTTCCGTCTGCAAATACTCAGCAGAAGGTGTGTTGACTAGTAATTGGTTATGTCGTAGCATGTCTTGTGGTTAGCTTTGATGTAGAGCAGAGCTGGAATACTATCAGATACATGCGGTTTCTGTGGAAGGTATACTTATATAACAGCAAGTACATAGCAAGTGTACCATAGTGCTGGTAGACCTTCAATTGTTTTCATTTTAGGTACTAAGTAATTTCAAGTTGTGTGGTCTTATGCAGTCTTGTTTATATCATTTTTTTGCAGTAGAACAATTTTATTTAAGTAGGCATAATAATATACATAATATTTCAGTCAATAAAGTAGATAAAATTTACAGCATTCGCCCTAGTTCCCCCTTTAAATGTTAATCATGCAATAGAAAAACATTCATATAGTCTGAATGTAGTCTAGCATAGTAAAACAATTAAGTTTTGTGTAAAATTATAATGCCGATAGCTACAAATGTGACATATTTGTTATCAAACAGTTCATAGTAGATAGTGAGTGACACCATCAAATCGTTAAAAATCATGCAGTCTGGAAAGAGGAAAACCCAATCTGACTTCATTAGACTAATCTGACTTCATTAGATCTATTGGTATAATGGTTACACAAGGTGTATTAGATCATTTTCAAATAATTATATAATAACATCATTTTCATAATGAAACACAAGTTTTTACTATTAATCATTCGACGACAAGTACAGACCGGGCCAGTAAATATGATACTATTCTTCGGTTTCTTGTATTTGCTGGTCAAAAGAGACCGGGAGAGACCGGGAACCGGAAGTGACCGGATTGGCAAATAGTATATCACACATGGTTACTCCCCTTTGATAAATGATCGTCATTGATCCTGCAAAAATATTTTTCGTTTAACAGTTTGTTTCAATAGAATATCAGGTAAAAAATATTTAATATTTTGACATAGATTTAGTTTCATTTGATTTCAGACTTTGAATAAATACATTTTTCTATGAGTACAAACATCTTTTCTAACAGTGTCGTCTATCGGAGGTTTATCTTACTGTGTGTAGTCGAACCCCATTGTATCGGGGCAGCACAAAATACCCCAAAATTTACCCAAATATTGCCTAAATAAATAAATATTTTATACTTAAAAGTGATGTTTTAATCATCAATACAATATAGACTTTCACTAAGATGTAATGATAAATCTATACATTTTCCTATCATTATGTTTTGAACCAAAATACAGGTATACTGAACATGGTAGACAGACGTTTCACTATTGAGACGGTTCACACCAAGACGGTTCACACCAAGACGTTTCACACCCAAATGGGAGTGAAACGTCTTGAAGACGTTTCACTCCCTTTTTTATACCAAAATTATTTTGATACTTATGATATACGATGCTGTCCGGTAATCTTGCGCACCTAAGCACTTATCGGCTAATTTTTTACGATTCAAATAAATACAAAAAAATCATAATTATTTTCCTATTTGCAAAAATCTTAAAGACATATAGACACAAATATTTTTTGGAAATAACTCATTGAAATGCAAGAGTGCAACAATGTAAACACTTAACACCATGTTTAATCTCAATATCCAATTGTCCGGTGATCTTGCGCATGTGTTATGAATGACGTCACGGTAGCTCGTTTTTAAAGTATGGTGTCCCAGTAGTACTATCAATATAAAGTTTGTGAGTCCAGTTAATGAAAAGTTAATTTAAACTGTTCAAACTGTTCAAACAAAACTGTAACACAAACTTATTTACATCAAGGGTTTGTTATTTTACTGTTCACTACTACACCCGGGACACCTGAAATCATCACTACCATCTTACTTTTTTTAATTTTATTTTTATGATTAAAATCGTTGTTCTGTTTTCTTTTCAAATTTTGTAAAAAGATGACCCTTTTACGCTTCCGGAGAAAATAAAATTGAAAAGCGCGGGAGGGGCTTTCCATTTTGACAAGATGGCGGGAGTCGGCAGGAGATAACAACTGAATACACCTTTATTTGCAAAGGGAAAAAGGGAAATTTCAACGTTTTATCGGTGCAATACTGTTTTCAAATGTGTGATATTAAAATATAATGTATTTTATACACATGTTTCGCATTTCATTGTTTAAGACTTACAAAAAATAATCAATATATATAGACAATATATTTAGTATATTGATATTTTTTATTACTTGAATAATAATAATTACTTTACTGGTAGTGATTTCAATATTTAAACTGATACTTAATATGATAATATGTCTTTGTTGTTCTTTCTATGTTATTCTATTTTTTTTTTTAATTTACAGTAAATAGAATTTTCTTATGTTGTTACACTTATAATAAAATTAAAAGTATACACTTATAATAAAATTAAAAGTGATATTTCAGAAATTTGTCTTTCATTTACACCTCTTATCACTCAACCAATAATTAAATGAGTAACCTTCTAATAATTGGTATTAACAATACCATTGAAATCAACAAAATGAAATATTAAATTGAATTTCCTTTTTACACTGTTTGATATTAATGAAATTATAATAAATTTGTTAACTTTCCTAGTAAACATCTCTAAAAATTGGGAGTGAAACGTCCATACAATTGACAAAATGGGAGTGAAACGTCTAGGTGTGAACCGTCTTGGGAGTGAAACGTCTCAATAGTGAAACGTCTTGGGAGTGAAACGTCTGACATTCACTGAACATCACTAATTCCGCGTCATCACTAATTCCACGGTAATGGCATATTTTCATGTAACCAGTGTTAAAATTGGCCAGAATTGACATATTTTATTCAGACACCCAAACAAATAAGTTTTTGTGCAAAATATTTTAAATCTGTAGATTTTGACGTAAAACAGAACAACATTTTACAAACTTCTGCAAAAAGCAACAATAGTCCATTAAATTCGTGCATACGTCTGAAACAATCGTCATTTTCTAAATGTTCTTGTTTGTTGAAAAAATCAATTTTGAGTAACAAAGTAAAGATAGTTTTAATAATTAAAATGAAGCAAAATAACATGTAGAAGTTTTGACTGAAACATAAAAAAACTGAAATGTTACACCATTACGGTGATTACCGCGATTTAAATGATGACATACAGTTTTCAAAATGGCCGACATATGGTCTACGTCTGGTCCATTTAAACTGATTTTGACTGAAAATATTGTTGTTTCCTTATGTCATACAGCAGAAAATACCAATAAGTTACAGCTTATGACAATTTTTGTACCATAAGTTTCAAGTGTTGTTTTCTTTCTTGGTTCAAAGTGTTAAGTACCGTGAATTAAGAGGAGCACAGTATATATATATGTACTCCATGAAAGCTATTTTTTTAAACATGGACACTTGTATATGATATGAAATCTCAACAAAATTACACCTTATAAATGTAAGTGTAGACAACAAATATACATGTATATTGATTTAAAATTGCAAGTACTTTCATAAGTTACCTATATAGTAGATAAGCAAATGTCACAACTTTATTAACATCTTAACTGCCCATTTCAATGGAATGAATGAAAGTTATAGCAGGGTAAGTCATATTATTTTTATAAATATTTATTTATTTCTGATTATTATCTATATTTTACAAAAACAAAAATAAATGTGGGTATATCTGGGACATATGATAAGTTATCGTATATCCCAGGGTATATTTGGGTATTTCGTGCTGCATCATGCTATGCATTGTATCGATCTATTTACAAATCTTTAGATTTTTTTGCAAAATGCACTAGCTGCTGGTTGTTTACATTTACAACAGTGTCACGAAAATCTTTCGCATTTGTTTTATGCTGTAAAAGTGATCAACAACATGTTTCCAGTACTGTCAGATCTTGTAGATTATAAATAGTGGGTTATTATTAAAAGTACATTAACTGTCTGTTGAAAGTTCCTAAATTTATGCTGACAGTTTAAAACAGACATCTTAGATTCTAATTGACTGAAAAATCTAACATAAAGATGGTTCAGGCTTTCCAAACTTTGACAAACTGAGTGATTCTCACAATGCATCGATATGATGGCGTGACCTAATTCTTCAACCTGTTTGACATGCCTGTAAATATTTGTATATTCCAAAGCGAAAAATTATATATCAGGGATGTTTGCCATGTAAATATTATGTCAAAAGAATCAAAATAAATGAACACGCCCCGAATGTTTCCATATTGAACATGGAAAAGCCGACATGCTGAAAATAAGTATCGAAACAAATGAGGCACAATTTAGCTTAATATCAGGTACGACAGCATTTATTTGTTGATGTTGTTGGTGTCATGTTAGAATCGATAAAGTGAGTGGTTAGCCGTACTGGCCTGTTTGGCTACCCAAAGGTTCTAGCCGTACATGAGTCATGTATAGATAGCCAGGACACACTGTATTGTCTAGCTGTACGGCAAAATTATACGAAAGTCGAAAAATGCATATGTCATTATGAGTCTTTAATCAAGAATTTTACTAAGTACCCGTATTTGCTCTTGTATGTTTAATTTGATATTGGTTATAAGTTGCCGGTAGAAACCGGCGACTATATTTGTAACAGTTTAATATTATATCTATGGTAGGAAAAGGCCTTAAAATATGAAAATTAAAGCAAATCAATTATTGAACAATTAAGAGCCACAATTATTTTTCATAATCTTAAAAATTCAAACATAAAGTAACGTTGCTCAAGGAAGTGAAATATACAAATATTGACATCTTAGAAAAAACATTACAATTTTATAAAATGAATTAAAAATGTTTCCCTATGGACCAGTCATTGAATATAGGGATACTTTTACTTTTTTCTAGGTGTCAAGCATTTCTATTTTATGATAGATAAATCATGAATGATATTTGAAATGACACGTTTAAATTATTTGGTTGTTTATATCTTCTGAGACCTTTTATATTTCATTATTTTATCTAATTATAAACAGATTCTCCCTGTTTGTAAGAATCCTGTGACTACACATTGTATGTTATTGTTTTAAAATCTTTTAATAGTAACAGATTCAGATTGCTGAAACTTGTGAATAGTTGGAAAAAGGTACGGCGGCCGATAAGTACCATATTTTATATGTTTACATGTAGGTCTGTATATCCATAATTTACACATTAAAGAATAGATTTTCAAAACCTTTTCATTTATTCTTAGGAAAGGTTTTAACTTGGCCCTTTCTGGTTTAGTTAAGGTTGAACATTATAAAATAGATTTATGCTAAATAGGCACATTAATTGAAATAAATTGTGGTAATCGTCGTCTTCGTTATATTCCGTCAATTTCCGTTGCGCAGGTTACCAAAACGGTATAACGGTATGGATCCGGAATCTTATTAGATACATAGAAAAAATTAATAAAATATCTTTCTGTTGATATATCTTATCGAACGGAAAGGCAATTAAATGTTAACTATATCGTATGTAAGGACAGGAATATTGATTTCAACTAAATTATACATATTTTCGATAGCGCATATGAATATTTTTTTTATGGAGATACCACTTTTACGTTAGAATTTCTTTGTTTTATGCAATAATTAAAACATATATATGTTCAGAGTCACTTCGCAAATATTCGATGACCGTTAATTATTTGGCGATAATTATCAGATTCTGAAATATACAATACGGATTTCGATGTCTGGTGTAATGGTATATGTATAAGGTAGATAACAAGCATTATCACTCGCCTTACAAAATTTATCAAATTATGAAATAAAAAAAATGCTAGAAATGAAACACTATTTATCAACTTATGTTTCATATAGTTAAAAGAAATAATAAAAATAGTTTTATGAAAACTGTAAAAAGGATTTTCAAAGATTTGAACTTGGCCTACTAGGTCACAACTTCGTCATACTAACCACCACTAGGCCATCAAGCAATATTTATTGATCTATACTATTAATAAAATCTTTAGCATTAATCATAAGTTACGTAAAGTAACGAAACACCTCCCGAAAATTAATGTGTCTCAGGTCAATATTGCCAGACAATACTTGCTTATTTAATAACCATACCAGTTCCTTGACACTACTGCTAAGCAAGTTTGCTTCATATATATGATGTTTTATTGTGAATAAACAGTTACTCAACATATTGTTCTTTTTTTCTTTATTCTTGAACCATTAATTAAACTGATATTTTCTTAGTATACTTATGATAATACAATCATTTTTCTATCCGGCGACTTGATGCTTTAGCATCAAAACATCTACTTGTCTTTACTGTACTCGCTACTGATAGAAATAGTCTGTCGTCAGCTAGTTTGGAACTGTCAATCTGTGTATTGCTTCGTCATTTTGTAAAAAAAAAAGAATTTGAAGGAAATGCATGTGTTGTCATCTTGAAAAATGTCATCAAAGTATACAAAGTACAGTCATGCAAAGCTTTTTTTATCATTTAAATAACAAATAGTTTTAGTTAGAATGCCATTGTTTTTTATGCTTTTGATTTGTTGTTTTATTTGTATGAAAGATAAATTATTAAATCATATTTTGTTAATGAAGCACATGTAATAATTAATCATTATGGCCAAAGAAACTTGTAGTCAAAACGGTGTGATCTGAGTGGAATAAGTGAATAAATAAAACATTCAAAATAAAATAACAGTGAAAAGCAAAAACAATATTAGCAAATTACAGAAACTGTATTTTAAATAGATAAATATCGAACATAAAAGCACAATCAATTAGCCTAAATCAAAGCCTATACAGGCACTGAAAATGAATTTTAGAATGTGTTTCACTGAACATGCAAACTCAATCTAAAATTATGGAACAAACTTCCACTGCCAGTAATTGATGCAGTAATCAGAGCCCAACAATAGTTATTTTTGGTCCTTTTTCCTTTTTAAAGGTGTTGACAATTAAACTTATTGAAACAATAAAAACATAACTATTTAAGTTTACAGTTCCACATGCATTTTCTTAGTAAGATGAATATTCCCATATATCAGTACATTGTACAATGAAACTTTGAAAGCAAACTTGACGACCCTGAGTGTCTGTAGGAATCTAAAATGTTAGAATTTGTAAATATAAGGTGAATTTTACAAGTGTTATATATGATGATTTCTTTAATTCCAGGTCTTACTTCCAACAAGGAAACAAAAGCTGGCAATCTGGATAGTAAAGAAACACTTTGTGAGAAGTTATCACCTGAATTGCAAAAATGAGGTGTGCAAAGAAATAAGATGTTCTTTGAAAACACATATGACAATACATACTGGCGAGAAGTGTCATGTGTGTAAAATTTGTGATAAAGTATTTTCTCAAGAACGATATCTTACATACATATAGCAACGCATACTGGTGAGAAGAATTATATGTGTAAAATATGCGGCGAAGCATTTTCTCAACAAGAAACTTTGATCACGCATATACATGCTGGCGAGAAAAAACATAAATGTAAAATATGTGAGAAAACATTTTCTCATCGAGGTACACAATGTAATTTGATCACACATATGACAATACACCCTGGCGAAAAGAATCATGTATGTAAGGTATGTGATAAAGCATTTTCTCAAGAACAACATCTTATCATACATATGGCAACATGTACTGGCGAGAAGAATCATAAATGTGAAATATGTGATAAAGCATTTTCTCAACAAGGTACTTTGATCACGCATATGACAATATATACCGGCGAGGAAAAACATGAATGTAAATTATGTGGTAAAACATTTTCTCATCAAGGTAATTTGATCAGACATATGGCAACACATACTGGCGAGAAGAATTATATATGTAACATATGTGATAAATCATTTTCTCAACAAAGTACTTTGATCAGACATATGGCAACACATACCGGCGAGGAAAAACATGAATGTAAAATATGTGGTAAAACATTTTCTCATCGAGGTAATTTGATCTTACATATGACAATACATACTGGCGAAAAGAATCATGTATGTAAAATTTGTGATAGAGCATTTTCTCGAGGACAATATCTTATCACTCATATGGCAACACATAATGGCGAAAAGAATCATATATGTAACATATGTGATAAAGCATTTTCTCAACGAGGTTCTTTGAACAGGCATATGACAATACACACTGGCGAAAAAATACATACATGTAAATGTAAATTATGTGATAAAGCATTTTCTTATCAAAGTAATTTGATCACACATATGACAATACACACTGGCGAGAAGAATCATAAATGTGAAGTATGTGACAAAACATTTTCTCATCGAGGTGCTTTGATCACACATAAGAGAACACATACTGGCAAGAAGAATCATAAATGTAAAATATGTGATAAAGCATTTTCTCATGGAGGTAATTTGATCACACATATGGCAACACATACTGGTGAGAAGAGTTATATATGTAACATATGTGATAAAGCATTTTCTCAACGAGGTTCTTTGAACAGGCATATGACAATACACACTGGCGAAAAAATACATACATGTAAATGTAAATTATGTGATAAAGCATTTTCTTATCAAAGTAATTTGATCACACATATGACAATACACACTGGCGAGAAGAATCATAAATGTGAAGTATGTGACAAAACATTTTCTCATCGAGGTGCTTTGATCACACATAAGAGAACACATACTGGCAAGAAGAATCATAAATGTAAAATATGTGATAAAGCATTTTCTCATGGAGGTAATTTGATCACACATATGGCAACACATACTGGTGAGAAAAGTTATATATGTAACATATGTGATAAAGCATTTTCTCAACGAGGTTCTTTGAACAGGCATATGACAATACACACTGGCGAAGAAATACATACATGTAAATGTAAATTATGTGATAAAGCATTTTCTTATCGAAGTAATTTGATCACACATATGACAATACACACTGGCGAGAAGAATCATAAATGTGAAGTATGTGACAAAACATTTTCTCATCGAGGTGCTTTGATCACACATAAGAGAACACATTCTGGCAAGAAGAATCATAAATGTAAAATATGTGATAAAGCATTTTCTCATGGAAGTAATTTGATTATGCATATGAAAATACATACTGGCGAGAAGAATCATAAATGTAAAATATGTGTTAAAGCATTTTCTCAAAAAAGTCATTTAATTAGACATATGACAATACACACTGGCGAGAATAAGCATTTATGTAATTTTTGTGATAAAGAATTTTCAAACTGCTATTCTCTGAAAACACATATGGCAATACATACTGGTGAAAAGAGTTGTGAAAAAGTTTCAAGTGTGTGATAAAAACCTTTTCTCACCAAAGTGTATTGAACCTTCATTTACTCTGGCGCAAAGAAACATAAGTGCGATGTGTGTATTGAAACGTTTTCTCAAGGAATACACAATTGCGATACAAAACATAAGTGTGATGAAGTGTTTTCTCAACCAATTCATCTTATCACACATATGATAATACAAACTGGCGATAAGAAATGAAGTGTGAAATATGTGGTATAAAAGGATTTTCTACACAAGTTTCTATACCGCCCCCGTGGTTGATGGGTTAGAGTCGATGACTTCTAATCCAGTTACCTCTCTGGCGTGGGTTCGATCCCCGGGAGATGCTTTGATAGTTTAGCGCGGAGGAAGGTAGTCTAAAAAATTGACGAAAAAATCTCGGTGGGACGCTCTAGGATGGCCCGACTTGAGTGTATGGTCGCCCATATGGGCTTTCAGGTGGCGACCTTAAATAAACGCATTTAAAAAAAAAAAAAAAAAAAAAAAGCTAGTCTAGTACTGGTGTAACTCTCCAGGAACGATGGTTAGTAAACTACCCGCCTATATGACTGAAATACTGTTGGCAAAAGGCGTAAAATGAAACAAACAAACAAACACAAGTTTCTCTTATCACACATATGAAAATAATACACACTGGCTAGTAGAAACATAAGTGTCAAGTGTGTGAAAAAACATTTTCTCACCAAAGTGAACCAAACCTACATATGACAATATACTATGGCGATAAGAAACATAAGTTTGAAGAGTGTGAAAAAGCGTTTTCTCAAGAAATTCATTTTATCACACTTATGACAATACACACTGGCGATGAGAAAGAGAAGTTTGAAGTGTGTGATTAAGCGTTTTCTTAACAAATTCATCTTATCACACTTATGACAATACCGATAAGATGATTTTATCATTTAAATATAAAAACCTTTTTACTTAAGGAATGCTGCCTTAAAGAATGGGCAGAACTTTACGTTTACTTTTCGTTAGTCAATTTTTCACAGAGTTCTCCAAGAAAGTCTGCTCTTCAATGATTACAGTCAGTCACGGATTTATATTACTATATTGTGTAATATAAATCCGTGAGTCAGTTCATAAAAACGATTGTAACGTGTCAGTTTGGAAATAAAATATAGATGGATCTTAGATAATATCCCGGTTACTTGTTTTATAATACTTGTACTTGTATAAAACTATAAGGTACAAATTTTCATTCTCATACTAAAGAATGTAATTACAATTAAAAAAGAGACTCTTTAAAACACAGCGACTAATTTGTGTAATTGCTGTTCATGTTAAAACCATCCAGGACCAAAGTATTTAAATAGGAATCAGTCCACAGTTATTTGCCTTTCTTTGGCCACAATAATGAAGTAAATCCGCATAAAAGAGTGCCTGTGTTTAATGCCAAATATTAATGAAAAATTGAATGAAAGAGATAGGATAAGGACATTTTCTGAGTTCATTTCAAATAGCTGGTAAATGTTCGTATAGGTAACATGTGATATCTTGAAAATGTTTACTTTTGACTTTGAATCCAGCAATCCGAGTTCAAATCTCGGTAGAACCTATTTTTGTACACAATGGTGATTTTTTTTTTATCTTTTTATCTTTTCGTTTCATTCACAATTATTGGCCATTAAGGATTTTTTAAGTTTACTATGAACATAATATAAGTTAACATGTCGGCTTCTACTTTCATTGCAAGATCCGTGTAAACACAGCTACTATACCTGAACCCCTGTTTATAACCATATGTACATATTAATAATTTTAGTGTTGTCCTAGCTTAAGAAGGAATTTTGGTGAGCTAAACTTGTAGTGAAATGTATTTGAACTAAAATTTCTCTGACATGTCTGAAGGGCTCGCTTTGAGTATTTGCCTCATTTATATGAAGTATATATAACCTGGGACACAAGATAATCATAAGTAAAAGCTTCATTTATATATAATATGAATAATAGGGTATAGGATGAGTTAAGCTTCAATACTAAATTCATTAAACAATATGAACAAAATTATACGAGTATTATTCGAGCATGATATTTGTTATTCTACAAGTGAAGTCAGTTATGAACATACACGAATATAATATAACATTTTATCACATACCCGAAATAAAACCCTTAACCTCCAAAAAGATACATTTATACAGTGGTACGTTTCCGCCATGGTACGTAACCTCTAAATTCTTGCACAGTTACTCCCCTTTGGTAAATGATCGTCATTGACGGGACGGTATACTTGGCAGACGACTTTGCAGACAAGTTAAACATGGAGGGATTTTGCAGACAAGTTAAATAAAGAAGGATTTTAGACTTTGCAGACAATATAGATTATATAGGGGATGTTTAATTCCTTGTCAACTGGTCAAAAGGTGTGAATGGGCAATTATGCTGTTGATCAGTTGGTAAGCTGTGTAATAAAAAAGGAATAACAATGTGAAATTTAATAGCATTTTATTTAATGTGTTATTACACTTTATTTAGTTATTATATTTATCAAATAATGTGATTCTTATTGTGTCGCCTCTACGGAGTAGTGGCGACATATAGGGATCACTTCTCCGTCGTCTATCTGTCCGTCTGTCTGTCCGTCAGTCTGTCCGCCCGTCCGTCCGTCACAAAACTTGTCCGGACTACTCCTCATAAACTACTGGTGCAATTTCATCCAAACTTTACAGGAATGATCAGTACCAAGTTTAGTTGTGCATATTGTCAGCATTTTCAGGTTCAATGATTTTTGTCAGAGTTATGGCCCTTTAATAATTTTTATTTTTAAAGTTTGTCCGGACTACTTCTCTTATACCACTAATGCAATTTCAGTGAAACTTTACAGGATTGATCTGTAGCTCAAGTCCTTGCGCATATTGCACGGGTTTTCCGGTTGAATGATTTTTGGCCGAGTTATGGCCCTTTGATAAAAAGGTTTCTTTTTCTGTGTGTTGCCAGATACGCAAAAGCTTAGTGTCCGGACTACTCCTCATAAACTACTGGTGCAATTTCATCCAAACTTTACAGGAATGATCAGTACCAAGTCTAGTTGTGCATATTGTCAGCATTTTCCGGTTCAATGATTTTTTAGCTCACCTGAGCATATGCTCAGGGTGAGCTATTAGGATCACTCTTCGTCCGTCGTCCGTCGTACGTTGTCCGTCGTCCGTTGTCCGTTCACACTTTTCAAACGACATCTCCTCTAAAACCATAAGGCAGATCATAATGAAACTTCACAGGGATTTTCCTTGTGTGAAGCCTTAACAAAGTTGTACAAAGAATTCCATTCAATTCCATGCAGAACTCTGGTTGCCATGGCAACCAAAAGAAAAAACTTTAAACATCTTCTTCTAGAAAACCCAAAGAGCTAGAGCTTAGATATTTGGCATGAAACATCTTCTAGTGAGTGTCTACCAAGATTGTTCAAATAAAATCCCTGGGGTCAAAATTGGCACCGCCCCAGGGGGTCATTGATTTTCCCTATATGCATATAGTAAAAACTTAAAAAAATCTTCTTTTAAAGAACTCAAAGAGCTAGAGCTAAGATATTAAGCATGAAACATCTTCTAATGAGTGTCTACCAAGATTGTTCAAATAAAAGCCCTGGGGTCAATATTGGCCCCGCCCCAGGGGGTCATTGATTTTCCCTATATGCATATAGTAAAAAATTAAAAAATCTTCTCCTAAAAAACCTAAAGAGCTAGAGCTTAGATATTTGGCATGACACATGTTCTAATGGATGTCTACCAAGTTTGTTCAAATAAAAGCCCTGGGGTCAAAATTGGCCCCGCCCCTGGGGGTCATTGATTTTCCCTATATGCATATACTAAAAACTTAAAAAAATTTCTTTTAAAGAACCCAAAGAGCTAGAACTAAGATATTTAGCATGAAACATCTTCTAATCGGTGTCTACCAAGATTGTTCAAATAAAAGCCCTGGGGTCAAAATTGGCCCCGCCCCAGGGGGTCATTGATTTTCCCTATATGCATATAGTAAAAACTTAAAAAAATCTTCTTTTAAAGAACCCAAAGAGCTAGACCTAAGATATTAAGCATGAAACATCTTCTAATGAGTGTCTACCAAGATTGTTCAAATAAAAGCCCTGGGGTCAAAATTGGCCCCGCCCCAGGGGGTCATTGATTTTCCTTATATGCATATAGTAAAAACTTAAAAAAATCTTCTTCTAAAAAACCCAAAGAGCTAGAGCTTAGATATTTGGCATTTAATATGTTCTAATGGATGTCTACCAAGATTGTTCAAATAAAAGCCCTGGGGTCAAAATTGGCCTGCCCCAGGGGGTCATTGATTTTCCCTATATGCATATAGTAAAAACTTAAAAAAATCTTCTTTTAAAGAACCAAAAGAGCTAGACCTAAGATATTAAGCATGAAACATCTTCTAATCAGTGTCTACCACGATTGTTCAAATAAAAGCCCTTGGGTCAAAATTGGCCCCGCCCCAGGGGGTCATTGATTTTCCCTATATGCGTATAGTAAAAACTTTAAAAAGTCTTCTTCTAAAAAACCCAAAGAGCTAAAGCTTAGATATTTGGCATAAAACATATTCTAATGGATGTCTACCAAGATTGTTCAAATAAAAGCCCTGGGGTCAAAATTGGCCCAGCCCCAGGGGGTCATTGATTTTCCCTATGTGCATATAGTAAAAACTCAAAAAAATCTTCTCTTAAAGAACCCAAAGAGCTAGAGCTAAGATATTAAGCATGAAACATGTTCTAAGAGGTGTCTACCAAGTTTGTTCAAATAAAAGCCCTGGGGTCAAAATTGGCCCCGCCCCAGGGGGTCATTGATTTTCCCTATATGCATATAGTAAAAACTTAAAAAAAATTCTTTTAAAGAACCCAAAGAGCTAGAGCTAAGATATTTAGCATGAAACATATTCTAATGGGTGTCTACCAAATTTGTTCAAATAAAAGCCCTGGGGTCAAAATTGGCCCTGTCCCAGGGGTTATTGATTTTCCCTATATACATAGAGTAAAAAGTTAAAAATCTTCTATTAAAGAACCAAAAGAGCTAGAGCTAAGATATTTAGCATGAAACATGTTCTTATGGATGTTTACCAAGTTTGTTCAAATGAAAGCCCTTGGGTCAAAATTGGCCCTGCCAGGGAGAAGGGGGAGGGGGCAAAAGTCATTGTTATTCATTATTTGTGTATAGTAAAAACTTAACATCATGAAATATCTTTTAATGGGTGATTTCCAAGTTTGTTCAAAGTAAAGCCCTTTGGTTTAAACTGGCCCGGCCCTGGGGGCCTATGTTCAGGTGAGCGACCCCAGGGCCATCATGGCCCTCTTGTGTTTGAGTTATGGCCCTTTAATAATTTTTATTTTTAAAGTTTGTCCAGACTACTTCTCTTATACCACTTATGCAATTTCAATGAAACTTTACAGGATTGATCTGTAGCTCAAGTCCTTGCGCATATTGCACGGGTTTTCAGGTTGAATGATTTTTGGCCAAGTTATGGCCCTTTGATAAAAAGGTGTTTTT